GGCTTAATGCCCTGGCCTGAAGTGCCGGCATCCCATATGGGTGCTGGTTCTAGTCCCGGCTGCTCCTCTTCCGATCCAGCTCTCTGCTATGGCCTGGGATCGGTGCTTCGGATTGGTGCAGCTCTGGCTGTTGGGGCCAGTTGGGGAGTGAACCATCGGATGGAAGACCTCTTTCTCTCTGCCTCTCCTCTGTGTAACTCTGACTTTCAGATAAATAAATCAATCTTTAAAAAAAAATCTCTGAAGGGCTAATATTTAAGGCATAAGGAAGAAATACAGTCAAGTCAGATCGATATGTTTTTCTGCAATGTAGAACATATATCATATATAAATAGGGCTTCACCAATATGAGGCACTTTTCAAACTGTCTCCCAGTAAGACCCTCCTCAGCAGGGATTTTGCAAGGGTTAAATGAGAAAGTCCATAGCAAGCACTCGGCGTGTGCCCCAGCATCAGAGCGAGTATGCAACGAGTGACAGCTACTATCGAACAACCTGATCCTCACAGCAGCCCTGTGGACTGAAGATGGTCCTTGTCTCATGGCCAGATTGTAGAAAACCGAGGCCCAGGAGAAATAAAGTCCAAGGCCACCCAGCTGGAATGTCAGAGCCTGGCCCCTGAGCTCCTGTGTGTCTTGTCCTCTGCCAGTGCATGGTCTGGGCCACTGTTCACAATAAATATGAGCAGTAGCATCATGAGGAATTGGGAGGAGGCCCATTCCTTAGAGACATTGCTTCCACCCTCCTGGACCCAGCCTTGAAGTCTCCCAGCCACAGGCGCTCCCACAGTGCCCAGTGTAGAACAGAGGCTGCCGGCCCAGGTCAGATGCCCACTGCTGCCTTCCCACCCTCCTGGACCCAGCCTTGAAGTCTCCCGGCCACAGGTGCTCCCACAGTGCCGTGTAGAACAGAGGCTGCCGGCATTTGCCGTGCAGAACGCTTGGGGAGTTTTTCCGTTTGAACTCAGCTCAGACCCTAAAGCAGTGCGGTTCTCCCAGAATGTCCTGTAAGGGATTTCTTCCTCTTGCACTCCACCCACAGAGAGTGTGCGTGAATCTGGAACTCAAAGCCAGGTCCTCCAACTCCAAAAGCAAGCTCTTTCCGAGGCCCCAGCCAGCGTCTGGGGGTGCTCGTTCCAGCTGCAAAGGCCACAGTTCCAAGTGGGCACCAATTACAGAAATCACGGCTGGGAAACCAAGGTGGAGGACGGCCAAGGCGGTGGACTGTCGGAGCAAGGAAGGAGTCATCTGGGGAGAAGGGCTCACTGCCAGTGTGCTGGCTCCCCTGACCACGGGACGGGGAGCTGTGGCAAGTGGTCCCTGGCTGAATACAGAAGTGAGCAGGTGCCCAGTGACTCCACGGAAGAGCAGGATTCATGAGCATGGCAGGCAGCTCTGCTGATGATCACAACTGCATGGAAATGTGTGCCTCCGAGGCTGAGAGCTGTTTGGTAAATGTTTTATTCTTATTAAGAACCACAATAAAACCACAGAACCAAGAATAAATCTAGGCCGGCGCCGTGGCTCACTAGGCTAATCCTCCGCCTTGCGGCGCCGGCACACCGGGTTCTAGCCCTGGTCAGGGCGCCAGATTCTGTCCCGGTTGCCACTCTTCCAGGCCAGCTCTCTGCTGTGGCCCTGGAGGGCAGTGGAGGATGGCCCAAGTGCTTGGGCCCTGCACCCGCATGGGAGACCAGGAGAAACACCTGGCTCCTGGCTTTGGATCAGCACCAGCTGGGGCCATTGGGGGGTGAACCAATGGAAAAAGGAAGACCTTTCTCTCTCTCTCTCTCTCTCTCTCTCTCTCACTGTCCACTCTGCCTGTTAAATAAATAAATAAAGAATAAATCTAAATGTGAATGCCTACTAGAATCCATTAACTGACCAGGCCAGCTTTGTGGCATATTTGGTAAAGTTGCTGTCTGCATGCCAGTATCCTGTGTGGACGCCTTCAAGTCCTGGCTGCTCCACTTCCAATTCAGCTCTCTGCTAACGCGTATGAGAAAGTAGTGGAAGGTGGCCCAAGTCTTTGGGTCCCTGCACCCACATGGCAGACTGGATGGAGTTCCAGACTCTAAGCTTTGGCCTGGCCAAGCCCTGGCCATTGC